ATTAAAATTAATTAAAAATTAAAATTAATTAAAAATTAAAATTAATTAATTAAAAATTTTATTTTGTTTCCCAGAATACCTAAAGATCGAATGCGCAGGGCGGAGTGGATAAAAATTATACGACTTTTACGAAAAGATAATTTGAGTAACAAAACACAAGGCACTTGTACAAGAAGCTAATGATGCACAGTGGCGTTTAATAATTTGTAATAAACTATAGTTAAATGTTTGTGTATTAAGTAATTTGTAATATATATACTTTTATAAATTTATTTTCGTTAAATGGAAACAGAAACTTTGTCGGGAGACAGTATTTTTATCACATTTATCCAATAAATAAAAAATACTAGAAAAGCAATGAATTCCTTACATTAGAAAGTCATCTCTTTATTCTTACAATTTATTTGAAAGAACTATGAATTCCAAGCGTGGACTCTTAACTTCACACATTTTCATGTATATTTCACTCACTCGTTCATTCCATTTCTGATTACTATCTATCTCCACTGTCTCTTTCCACCAGTGAGGCTACAAGAAATTAGGGAAAATTATTTCTAAACCGCTAACACTGGTCGTATCCCTTAATGCACTATAACTATTTCATTTTGACGTAATTAGTTTGACATTAGATAAAATGAGACAAATATATTTTTCTTTGAAATTTCAATCAGTTTCAAAGTTAGTCTTTAAATTTGCAAAGTGGTCCCACATTTTAGACAACTGTTTGTAGGACATTGCGTCTCTAGTATTAGTTATTCTCACTGCTTAGGTGTATCATATATTTTTTGTAAGATCAAACAAAACAAAACAATTTTTCCCGCTTCTCCGGCGACTCGTTTTATGCTTCAGCTACATTAATCTTCAATTCAGTGATCTGATTAGTTATTTATCATACTTAATTGTAAAGCAGTTGAACAGGTAGCACACTGAAACTAGGTACTTTAACACTCTGACGAGCTTTTGGTTACCCTATTGTAGTCTTAAATAGGATTTTGCGGTTATCTACCCAGGACCTATATAGCATTACTACAGGCGTGCGTGTACAACTGTCGTTCACAGCTTCCCTTTCCTTGAGTTAAGTTAAGAATGTGGATTAAGGGTTCGCGTTTAATTTGAAAAAAAAAACCTTGCTTAACTTCAGGTGTAAGTTGTCCTGTAACTATTACCGTTACAACACTGGTCGATAGTTGGTTGACAGCCAAACTGCAGATTGACGAGCTACTCGATGACAAAGATATAAATATCGATTTACCTCGTTTGCCGCGTCTCCTCGAACCAGGAAAATCCGATCAGTTCACATTTTCTATCACATCTAATGTGGAAATTAATACCAGACTTCAATACACTATTCACCTTAAAGACCCCTCTATAGATGGAGATATTGAACAGAAAGGAGAAATAGAAGTGAATTTTAAAGTACCTGTTATTCAAGCTATGTCAGCTGACGGATTGAACAAAGTTGCCTATGCGCCTATACCAGAAATGTCTTCTTGTATGAAATCGTTCATTATTATAAGCGACTGCCCGGCTGACTTACAATTGAAATTGTGTATTGTGGAAGGTGAAAGCTTGTTCTGTATTAAAAATGTACAAGAAATAAAAAAGAGTGATGTTAATAAGCTGCTTCTACAGCGTCAACCAAGTGACGACCAAAACACTGGAAAGAGCAAAAATAAAGCTACAAATATGCAGTTTTGTAGATTGACACAAGGAAACGCTATCAGAGTTACTGTAAGTTTCGTTTCGCCGAAATTGGCCCAGTTGCAGATATCGTGTGAGTAATTTAAAAATATTTATACTTACTTAATTTGATTTTAAATCTCTAAATCTCGTGCAATGTATGAGGCAATAAATCTATATCGACCGAAGTCAGACTGTTAGACCGTAGCATCGTAATCTTTAAAAATAAAAAAAAATCTAATTTTTTTTAGTAACAGCGCGAGCTATGTCAAATATTGTAGTAGCGTTACTAATGTATCGCGTTTGACATGCCAAATATTAAAAAACTTTACAAATCTTTAAACATACAAAAATATTTTCACCTGAAATTTACTTCTGTCACACATAACGTAACCATTAATTTTCAGCAAAAACAAAAGTTACTTTCAATGGTGCCCTTAACGTTTACTTGTTAAGTGGTGACGCAGTGATAAGGAAGATCGATCTCGTCGGGATCGTAGGAATGCCAGTGCTTGGCCTCAATATATCAGGCAATAAATTACATCTTAGCAATGGTAAGAAGTAATTTGCTTCTACTTAGGGTTCTGATATTAATTTATTATTAAGCGTGTGAAAGTCCTAATTTTAACCATACATTAGTGAACTGTCATCGGAACCATTTATTTCCAATCCGCGACTGTGTGTTGCGTTGTATGCGTTTGCGCTTGCGCATGAGTACTTGCGTGTATGTGCTACATAATATCGCACAAGATTGACATAATATTGCATCTTACATTAATTTATTTTTCAAAAATTAATTTTATTTTTCGTTCGAATTAGTGAACAAAAGGCATCTGATCTGATCCATTCGCGGATAGTCGTCTTGTGGTTTATTATACAACTTGTACTATTTTCAGAGCCAGTAAAGATAACTGTAAAGAACACAGGCACAATATCAGGCAGTTGGTCGATTATACGAGGACCTGATGAGTCTGATGACTTTCCGTTCCAAGTGTCGCCAACAAAATTCGAGTTGCAACCGGGCGCCTCAACAGCCATTTGTATGGCTTATACTGGGCTTGAAGATGACTTGAAGGAAACGTAAGTGGGGATAGCGTGTTTTTTATGTAGTGTAGGGTGCAAATAAGCAAACGAGCATTTGCAAAAACAGAATAGCTTGTCTATGCAAATACAACTGACACAGATTTGGCGCTAACGCAATCGGTAGAAGGAATTCATTATTTGAAATTCTACAACATGGCGAGAGCCGAAAACAAGCATTGGTAAATTGTCTTAAATTTTCAAAATTTTGATATACATGTACCATTTATTTTCACACACATAAACAAAAAAAATTTACAGAAATGAGATTTTTTTTATAGAATTTAGAGAAATAATTATAAAAAGATTAAATAAAATATTGTGTGTCACGAACACGAGCTCAGGGAAATGTTGAAATAAATTTGTCTTTATTTAAACCTTGATTTTGAGCCCGACCAAGCCATGGCAGTGGTTGGCTACGTGGTCGATTACACCCACAAATCGCAAACAAACATTAAATAAAGATAAAATGTATCGAGTTTTTAGGTTTTCGCGACTGTTGCACATAGGAAATTGTACTATTTTTTCGGATCTAAATCGCGTATATTTGTTTTTTCAAACAAACCAACGTTTCGGGCGCTTTACAGGTCCAGTGACTGCCCCGTGACCATAGGACTCACTCGTCACTCTACGAATGTCACATTAAAAGTATAGGGGCGTTTAACGTCAAAATTTTGGCTATTGTAGTTTTATTTTTAAAAAGTTGTTGGTGTCGTTTTACTCATTAGGCAATGTCGTTTTACTTTCCTTATCAGTTTAAAGATTTTTGATATCTCTTGTATTTACGGAATAATCGCCTGAGCACACTTAACGATTACACCCTGCATATGTCGTATTTTCATTTTTCTCATAACATTATTTTTAATACAGGACAATCGTATTTGAAGAAATAACAACGGGCAATAAAACAACTCTCGATATCTCAGGCGGTTTAAGTAAACCAAAGCAGTTCCCGATCAAAAGCAACTATTCAATATTGTCTTGGGTGCGACCTGGTCGCAAGGAAATTAGCTTGAAGAATGTCTCAGACAAAAAGATTTATATTCGTTGCCATTTATTGGGTGAAGGGTTTTCCATTGACTTACCGAAGGCTGAGTCTAGAGGGATTTTTGTGGTGCCATTTGAAGCCAAAGAATGTAGATACCTCCCGATTGTATTCACGCCCTACTCACTCATGCCCTGCACTGCTGTTTTGCATTTGGTGTTTGATAAGAATAGTGACACTTCGCGCAAGGTAAGCGTGTTTCCCGTTTTTCTTTTCTTTTCAAGTAGTATTAATTTTTTTAATATAATTAGTGATTAAACCAACTTACCTGTAAGTGAAGTTCGATCATAGTTTTACGAAGGCTTCGTTCTCAAGATTAGCATATAAACAACACTTGTAGAACCACATAGTAGCCACCACTTTTGCACATAGAGGGTAAAATAAGATTTTTTTGACATTACACCTCGTTCACTTGTTCGCTGCGATCACGCCATTTCATTCGCGTTGCAGTGCTCAGCCACTTAGTACCCTTTTTTCCCTTTCTGGATAAAATTCAAGTGTTAGTTTAAAATAACTGTTTTAAACTGTTCAACACGCCTAAAAGAAAACGAGGTGTATAATGTAAAAAAATCTTATTTATGCTCAATATAGTGCGAAAGTGGCGCCTGCTACGCGTTACTACATGTGGCGGCCGTTACGCTGTACTACAAGTGTTGTTTATATGCTAATCTTTAGGACGAAGTCGAGTATAATATCTTATATAGTGGTATTGAGTTTTTATACTTTGATGTTCAGACTGAAACACTTAACTAAAGATTACTGAAAGCGTATAGCTAACAGTTGTAAACAAACCTGAAAATTTTAAAGCTTTATTGTTACTTTATTATAGTGTGTATTTATATTTTGGTTTTACAATGTATATTAATTTCTGAACCCTAGTTCCTTTTAGTTATTACTTATTGTATGCTAGCTACCAGATTTAAATAAATACACGAGAGTATATAATATGCGAAGTGCAATTTTCTGGCATTTCATTATTTTTCTTGTTCGGTAAAATAATTGTAGTATGTTATTATTGTTCTTAATGTTATTATTATTATTATTATATACATAAAGCTACAAGTTCTTACTCACTGATAGAAATAGAACGCATACTTCTCGATATGGTGGAAAAAAGAAATTATACCGTTGTACGCGGATAGATTCCAAAGCAAAGAATTAAATATGAGAAGACTTAAATGTGCAAAATATAAAAGAGAGATCAACAGCCTGCAAAAACTATAATATATGGAGGGAATATTTGTGCACTTTTATGAGGTACACCCTGGTCAATTTCCTCCGGAAGTAAAAAATGTTCGAAATTCAAATAAATAAGATGGCCGCCATACAAATTTCAAAGTCTCCTATCACGGAAGCTATTAGAGATAGGTAGGAGGTGCTCGAAGGAATGTCGTAGAGATTAATAATGGTCAACTGCCTGGGTTAAAAAAAAAACAAGATGGCGAATTGAAAATGGCGGCCGAAGAAAAATTTGCTTCGATCCGGCTGAAAATTGGTATGCGGGGGACTTTAGGAGTCCTTAACCATAATTTGGGGTCAAAAGTTTCTTTTCGCCATTTTTTAATATGGCTGTCATATAAGCGTTTTTTTTTGGTCAAAAGTGGCTGCCGAAACGGACTTGCTCTGATTCGGCTGAAAATTGGCAGGGGCCTCCCTCTATAAGTACCGGATAATAATTTGTGGTCAAAATTGTTTTTTCGCCATTTTCAAATATGGGCCGCCATAGAAGCGTGCGTTGGCGGCAGAAAAAAAATGCTCTGATCCCTTTGAAAATTGGCATTTGTCTGGGTGGGTCTCTAGGAATGCTTGATAATAATTTGTGATCAAAAATGGTTTTACGCCATTTTTTAATATGGCCGTCATTCAACAACTAATAAAAATTAGCTCTAATTCAACTGAAAATCGATATGTGGGGATCTCTATATATCGATATGTGGGGGGCTGCCATACAAACTTTTTTAGCGCCAGATAAAAATTTGCTCTAATTCGATTGAATGTGGGCATGTCGGGGCCTCTATGAGTGTTTAGTAATAATTACCGGTCAAAATTTATTTTTCGCCATTTTTCAATATGCCATACAAACTTTTTTGGCGGTAGATAAAAATTTCTTCTAATTCGACTGAAAATGGCATGGCTTCAATCGCAATTTGGGGTAAAAATTTTGTTTCTGCCGTTTTTCATTATAGCCGTATTTTTTTATGTAAATGTTGTCATTCAATAGTTTGAAAAAACTTGCTTTGCTCGGACTGAAAATTGACACGAAAAGATTTCTAAGATTGTTTGATAATAATTAGTGGTCAAAATATATTTTTGCAATTTTTAAATATGGCAACCATTAAAGAGCTATTTAATTTTTTTTAAAACAAAGCCATAAGTGCCGAGGATGGAGGCCGAGGTCCGCGGAGGGCGAAGCCCGAAGCGACCGCACGCCATCAAATGGAGATAATATACGGAGACGTAATAGATTACGAGTCTCACAATTGTAAAAATGTAAAGCATGCTTCCCGATATAGTGGAAATGAGATACTTATTATAGCGTTGTTGTATCTCAACCGTCTCTATGTTAGATTTCATTTTCTTGAAAGCTATGCCAAAGAGAAGTATTTAGGGGGAAAAAATGCCAAACTACTGCTGAATTTCCTGTACTATGAATACCAAATCAACGATAACCCAGAATACTCGACCAAAACCAGCTTAGAAATGTTTATTTCTTAAATTGGCATAAATCGGGAATCGACCTCCTCATCAAGCGCCCATAGTACTAACTGCTGTGCCACCGAACAGCATGAGCACACCCCGCACAGGGCTCGTTACAAAAAATAGGCACAAATTAAAGGAGGTTTTAATTTCGACGCTTAAACCTCATCGCAGGTTTGAGCGGATTTCGATTTTGGGCTGATGAATATATTTTATTTATAATTTCTAGGTGAAACTCTTTGGATGCAACAGCGGCGAGGTGGTCCGCTGGCCAGGGCTAGTGACGTACTCCGACACGGCGGCGCAGGTGCGTGCTGTAAGCGGCATGCCAGTCGAGTTACAGTTATACAACAAATCGCCTATGCCAGCGTTCGTCGCTGCCAGGATGCAATTCAATGGTATGTCAACACTTTTATTGTCGTATATTTATAGACTTGTAATCAATAAATACTTAAATGGACGCTACAAAGGAGACGCGAGTAACATTTTTTCACAGCTTGTTTCCTCGGTTAAAGGAAGTATAGTTTTCGCGAAACAATGACACTTTTACGTAATGTCTATACAAACTTTCTTGAAACTTTTTTTAAATTTGTGTCGTAATTCTCACTTCAGTTTCTAACAAACGTCGAGTCCATAGTTTTATGCATAACTATAGTTACTAGACCGTGATTTGCGTGAATTAATGATGAAAAAATTATATGGCGAATACATTATAACTACCTCCGTGGCCGAACGCGAACTGCCATACAGAGGTCCTGGGTTCGATTCTCAGGCCGGGAGAAATATGTGTATGGCCATCATTTATTTCCCTCGTGAGTTTGGGTGTAATTTGTGGTTGTCTATGTGTGTGTCCATGGCACCCGCGACACAGAGTTTGCGCGGCTATGTTGAGTGTGTGCGTTATTATCGTTTTTTTTTTTCAGTACATTATAGGCCAGTAGAGACAACTTCAGCCCTAAAAGGTGCAAACCGCATAATCGCCGGTCGCTCCCGACACACAATCTCGCTACAGTTGGACTGGCGGCGTGTGGAGAGACGGGCATATGAATGTGGTATCACCGCGCTTGCCACAATCACGGTACTTACCGGTGCTGAGTTTACTAGACGAAGGATATTGAGGTAAACCCCACGATACCACTGTCTCTTCTTTATATAGCTTGCAATAGTACATATCTATCTTTTTTAAATTATATCCAAACTTTGACTGTACTGTTATGTACGTATGATAAGCGCTTCCGAAGCAGCCAATAAGGATTTCTAATACAAACTGAACAGGTAAAGAGAGAATAGCCTTGTCTAGTAAGTGGTCTGGACTTAGAACACCTAAGCGTAGTGTAAACATTTTGCAGTTCTAAAAAAAAAAGCTCTGTACAATTTGTTATATTTTAATTATTCAAGGATTCTCAGAAATGAGTCCAACGGGGAGCTGGATACTTCCCTGTTGCCGGCTCGTCTGAATATACTGGCTGACCAATTCGAGGAAGAAGACTCCAATACAGACACCTTCTTCAAAGACTTCGAAGAGACAGAGGTTTGTTTAGTAGGATTCTTTTTCCATCTTAAGCTTATTGGATTGACTGAAATACGGGCTTTTCCTAGGCGAAGGCACATTCGCAATTTCACCTGATATTAAATAATTATGTGACCAACGTTGTTACGCGTTTGTTAAGTAACTGCCTTTTCACTCCTTAAGTGATGAATATCCCCAAATTGTACCTTTCGGGATGCATCCATCTCTTTGCCGTACGCATCAGGATGGATAAAGCATAGCGCTTTGTGTGAATGGGTGTTGGAGTGGTGCGGACTTTCTAGTAAACCGAAAGGAGAAACACGGTGATACTTTACAAATTAGCAAAAAGTTGCTTTATTAACGATGTTTGTTTTTCTAGGTATCGCTAAATGAACTTGTAGGAGGATTACAAGAGCTAACCGTGTCTATCGACCTGCCACAAGATTTCGGCGAAAGCACCATCGTCGTCCTTGATGACACTATGATTAATCACCATACTCTTATTGAATAAGGCACCAGAGACGTTTTACCAACAGAGTGGTGTAGTGTGTATAAAAAAATGTATTTGATGATTATAAACTAAATTGATATTATGTTACTTTTACATTATAATTAAAGTGTGCGACGTTTACGAATCATTAATGCAATTAAACATGAAATATAAACTTATTCCCTGTCCACGAGGACACGACAGACTCAGGTCTATTGCGTTACCAGAAGTTGAGAATACATAGTCGTAAAAAAATAACAATTATTTTTTTGTTATTGTTATTATATTTTAATTTTCTTTTAAATTATTATAAATGAAAATGTAATCCATTATACATTCCACCGCTGGGCACGAGTCTCATTTAGGAAGGGTTTAGTCCGAGGGCATAGTCCGCCACGCAAGCCCAATGCGGTTGGAGGCTACACGTTTATTTTCACCTTCAAGGAGACGTAACGAACGAACTAAACGTTCACAGATAATTTATAAGTTTCAATTTTATTTGTAATGTAGTAATTTTATTAGAAATAATAAAAATAAATAAAGACTATGTTTTTATCGTCTCGTGTTAGTCCTAGTTAAGCTTTTGAAACAAATATATTAAAAAATCCGTCCAAATCTTGTATGTGTAGCATGAAATAAAAACAAATAAAATGCAATTATTTTAATTCATATTTATTATTTTCTTAACCATATTTATTCCAATCGTTTTCCTATTTTTTTTAATCATTGTATCTAAGAGATTCGACTGTCAATCGCAGTTATCTGTTAGAAATGACCTTTAAAAATATTGCCTACAACTTATAAAACTAAAATGCATTTCCACTTACAATAATAAAGTCATTAAACACCGCAAAATGATAATTTTATATATACAGGACTAAATTTGTCGGTCATACAATTCAAATGGTTTATTCCGTTAATTGTTCTAATCCCTTGCAATAAACCCCTTTACTTGAGGATATAGACAGACGAGCGGGAGAAAGATAACGGTGCTTGCACTAAAGGAAACTAAATTATTACATGGGGTGATTAGAAATTAGAAATTGTTGGTCCATCAGAGGGGTTTATCGCAAAGGACTGCGTCACCAGTACATCCAGTTTGATGTATTTTACATTATCATGATTATATCTCTTACAACAACGAAAATATTCTTCTAACACACGTAACGTTCGTCGCACAGGCACTCACGCACGGTCACGCGTCTCGCACTCGCGTCTCTTCACGGCACTCACTCACACTCGCATTTGGCAATTTATCATGTCATTCTCGCAATACGTCAATATTCACATAAAACTCTTCACAATTAACAAATCGACATAGCGATAAAACTCCTGCATAAACGAACTACAATACATTTAAATTCATGATGAAATATAAAATATTTACGCGAGTTAAAGAGGTAAAATGTGAATATCAACACTGTATAAAAAAAATGGGACCACATAGGATGTCTACATGCCGTACAATCTACATATGAAAAAATCTTATTAAAATGGAAGTACTTACACATTTTTATAATGTTACGATACAACTAATTTGGGTCAAAAATGGCTGACAAATTTATTAGTAAGTGCTTCGAAAAATTCTACATTTTCAACTCGTGTCGTTATGTGTATCTAGTACTAAGAAGACGCAATATAAGGAAGTTGACTGCAGAACGAATTAAAATACACGTACATTGTACTAGGAATATTTGTATCAATTGTCAAAAATGTACAGCTAAATAAAACCCCTGAGCGTCATATTTCCTGAGGATACAATGCCGTCACAGTTATATACATTACACACGCACACGTTTTTACAATAGGATTTAAACATACTAAACTAAAAAAATAATGAGCTATAAAATAGTATGTAAGATTGCCAACGATACACTGGCCTAGTGATCGGGTCGGGGCCCGACACCTTGTAATGCTATTGTTATAAGAACAATGACATCTCTAATAATATTTATTAGTAATTGCCGAGGCTCGTGAGTTTTTAATTGCTGTTGTTCATTCTAATATATGTCTTAACAAGTAGGAGGCGGTACTCTGCCGCGGCGACGTGACGCGACCAGTGGCCGGGGCAGAGCCCGCATCTAGAGATCAATATGGCTTTCAAACACGTGCGGCTTGCATAGAGTTGATCAAAGATAACACAAACTGGCAATGTTTATTGCCACATCTAACTTATAAATATCGTATATAAAATGTCAATAAAGTGATTTTATCGGTAACGGAGCAGAACCATACTCGCCCACCGCTATCGTATGCAACATCGAGAGGAGAAAGTCGCGAACTAAGAGACAACAAACACTAATTCTACACGTCGAATGGTTCTATTTAAAAAATCGGCTGACTTCTAGGTAATTATCACAGACAATATAAAAATTAAATTAGGTGGATATTCGCGTTGGATTTATTGCAATGATCTATCAACTACGTCAACAGAGGCGCCAACGGTGCTGTGCCAATAATTCGCTCGAACGAAGCGCGTAATCGAACGATGTCATTTCAGCAATACACTATTGTGTACGTATAGCCTACAGCATACCGGGCTTCACTTAAAAATTTAACATCATTCGTAAGCCCAGCGAAAATGATAGTTACGTAAAAAGCCTTAATTGTACGACCTAAAAAAGCAACAACAGGTTTACATTCTGGTAGGTATATCCGGACGGATAAAGACCAATATAACTGAGAGAGACTATCGTTCGATTAACACTCGGCTTGTCTTAACAATACAAACTTGGTGTTCGACAAAACTTGACAATCTTTCATGTTTGCAATGGTAGACCTGATATCTTGTTTCTACATAGTTACAATATTTCGAGGGAAATCTTACTTTACATACATTCGATGAACATGAATGCCACATGCAACTCGAATGCGACCGCATTTCTCAAACCTGCCCAAGAGGTCGTTTTGAGATTTTCAGATGTTCATGCACTCGATCGACGTCATATACTATTAAGTCATTGATTACGAGCTCGACCTTAGAGTTGGCCGTTTCGTAAGTGACCTCGAAGGATGAAGCCGAGGGCCCCTAATATCACTCACTGCGCTTAGTGCTAAGGTGGGAGCGTCGACGGAGATAGTCGCACGACACGTCACATCCGAGTGGCACGAGACGGGCGAGCGAGCGGCCGCGGGAGTTCAGTTCGGTAGACTGAGCAATCTAGAGTTCAGCTGGGACGCTCACAGACACTTCGAAGCCGCGCAGCGTTGAGGACGCCCCGGAGTCCGACGAAGGAGATTCTGGCGCAGGAGTCGGGACTCGAGATGGCGGGGGGGAGTCGGGGTCGGGCGAGGCGCGGAGAGGTGTGGGCTAGGGTGCGCGGTACAGCAGGTAGGCGGTGAGCGCGGGCGGCAGCGCCAGTCGCGACGCCGCCGCGCGCAACCGCGGTCGCCCCACGCGCTGTCGGATCACGCGTCTGCACAGCTCCATAAGGGGTAGTGGCTCCGCTGCAACAAAACACGTACTCATTGTTGATAACCATAGCCATAGAGCTCTCTTGCTATGATATTTTAAGATCGGCAGAGTAAATAAAAGCAGTGAAGCCCAAAAATAATATATTGTTCAATCGAGGGACTAAAATGAGCCAATTATGTATACCCGGGGTGGTTAATACTCCGAGGCTTGGCTTTTAGTCTCGAAGTAAAAACTTTACTTTTCACTTCGATTGCCAGAAAAAAAAATACAACAAAAAAAAATTCGCTCCACAACAAAATTACGAACCAAAATTCTAAAGTTTAAAAAATAGCGGTACTTTTTTCCAACCAGACAAAGTTACAAACAAACGCACTAATGCGGGAAAATAACATGGCGCCACCGTCTATGCGGAAAAGGCATGGAACTAAAACCGAACGTACTGAGTTTGTTCACTCGAAGTAAATTAAAAAATGACATACTTTTTACTCCCTTGGAATTAAAGGATACTTTTAGAGCATGAGAAGTGAAAATTAATTGTCATCAGTAAGTTGCAACAATTGTTTTAAATAAAACTTGCCACAAGTGTGACGTCTTATAATTGGTCGAAAAATACTACTTGTTTTTGTTGAAATCAAAACCAATAGGTGAATTGATCATACGTGTGTAAGTAACTACCTGTAATTTTCAGGGATTTCGTTGGTCAATCCATTTGAGTAAGCAAGGCTTACTATATTACCCATAGCGTTAATTCTCGTACACTATTCCACAACGGAACTACTGTGTAAAATCTTCTTCGATCTATCTTATTTTGTACTATTGACATGCTTCTCATTAAGAAATACCCAACCTTCGCCAATAGTTAATAGTCAGGTTTATCAATACTATTAGATGGATAAAATGGAAATTGTTTCTGGATCAGTAGGGTTAGCACGATAGGGCGCGACTAGCGCGAGAGCGACATAAAGAGCGAAATACTGCTATTCTCGCATAGACATCTCGCGCTTTATGTCCCTCTCGCACAACATAGAATATTTTCATCCCATTAGTAGCATAAACGACGTTTCAATACACAACTGAATGTACATAAACACAAAAAATTACATTATCATCTCAAGGATAGAAATGAAACTTACGATCCAATCCGCCAATGTACTTCATAGTGATCTCCGCGTGTCCCCACACGGCAGAGACGATGGGGTACAACGTCTTGCCTCTGAGGCCGCGCGCCGCCACGCCGAGGTAGCGGCCGTCGGCGCAGAACGCCAGCGTGCCCTCGTCCATGTCCAGTACGACTAGTAGCCGGTCCGGCACTAGGAATTGTTCGTCGGGCCGCAGCAAGGCCGGGTACGTCGTGCCACTGCCGCCGGTGCCTTTCGCGTTATGATACACCTGAAAAGTATATTGTGAAATATTTAATACGTGGCAAAATTTGTCAATAACGGGTATTGTACGAGTATGTCCGTGTTTCTGACCGTTTGTTTAATTTTGCCATGATTTATTTGTTACACTTCTGTTTTTACCATTACAGGCTCGATGGTATCTGTGGACTATCTTCAGACCTCCACCTTATCTCTGTTCGATATATTAAGATAAGTGATATCTTCAACATATGTTAATAATTGGTTTCATTCAAGATGTCCGTAAGTTATCATTAAAGAAATTTGACAGGTAAGTCAATGAAAGCAACGAACCTTATTTCTGCCCAAATCCCATCCCCAACTCTGGTCAGTAGCGCCAACGAGGCTCTGATAGCCGACGGAGTGTAGCGGCGCATGCGCAGTTGCTACACCTACAACGGCATGCGTCCCGCGCTGCCGCGCCGGCCACACCACCTCCCAGCAATGCAACCCGCGGGAGTACCCTACTCGTCCGCGGATGCAGTCCGTGCTCTGCGCCACCGGGTGCCGGTGGAATGTCAGCGCGTCCTCTTCTTTTACGAATATATTTAATGATCTGGAATTTATATGATGATAGAAATTTATGAAAAGAATTTATGTGCTAAGGTAGTGGATATTGATGGCGTTTTATTCAAGAAATGGAGTAGTGTTGACGTAGACAAGTTGAAGTGTACCCACCTGTCATCAGGGTTCCAAGCGTGCTTGAGCTGCGTGTCGGGGTGCGCGGGCGGCGCATCGAGCAGCGCGTCGAGGCGCGCGGGGCGCGGAGGCTCGGGCGCCAGCTCGCGCGCCACCACCGCCTTGAAGGGAGCCGTGCACTCGCGCGACACCGACTTCACTCCGCCGGACAGCTTTTGCCCCATGTTCATGCCCCTGCAGCGCGTGCGGGCGCGCTTGGGCAGCGACTTGAGGCCGCGCCGCTCCTCGCCGCCGCCGCCTCCCCCCGCACCGCCCCTCACTCCGCGCACCCCGCTCTTGTACCTGAAAACGGAAAATCTCTACGTTACACTCGTGCCTGCGTAAATTACTTCCCGAACAATTTTTTATTATTATTTAAGTGACGGGACGAACAAGTCGTGCGCCTGGTGGTCAGCGACACGCCTATCCCTGACAGTAGCAGTGACATTCAGAGCTTTAAATAGCAAAGATCTTATGGGCACTGCCACTGCGCCTGTCACCCTAAGACTTAAGTTGATAAGTATGCATGTGCCCGTAATTTCCCCAGCACCCTTACCCTTCTAAACCTGGACGCAGTAATGCTCATAATACTACTTGGCGGCAGAAATATGTATGGTGGCATAACATCCCTGGACGAACTCTTTCACAAGGAGCTCTACTACTATTAAATTAGTGTTGCTATGGCAGACACATGTGCAATAAGGTATTGTACACTGTAATGTGTACATTATAACTTAGTCATCGACATGATTCTCTAAGTGGAAATATCTGGAGGTATATTTACTTCATATGGAAATGTTTATACTGCTAGGGAAGAATTTTAAACTACAATGCGGCATCTGTAGTTTATAAGATACTTTTTTTATTAGGATGGCTCCATTAGATTTGCAGTTGTAATTATAAATAATTGTTACACAACTCTATTGTCTGAGAAACTAGTTTGATGGCGAGTGGTCGTGTCGTCATCGCAGGTGCCAGCGTGCTTATAGCGCATCTTATGTAAGCGGACGTCTAACCGTGAAAGTTGCCGCTCAAAAGCCAAGGTTACCGCGGCCGTGGAACGAGCCTCGACCACATGCGAATGTTCTATGACCACTTGAGCGTTGTTTATTTGTTCCTCGTGTGATGTAATGCAATAGCACAGCAAAATGTTAACTATACCGAAGCATCGTCGATTAATGGACTCTCAATAATATATGTCAGATCGTATGTTTCCGCAGATACAGTGTTACTGATTCGTCAAGAGGAATGCATGCATGATGTCAGTAATAGTGGAGCATCATGATCGTTTTTGGTTGAGAAGGGACGCCTAGAACGCACACGAGTCACAAGGCCGTCTGCCGTCCGGCGACTAGAGCGGCTGTGTGACAAAAGCGGGAAGTGAAAGGCAGTGAATGCGTCCTCTTTGGAGTGAACAACATCACTGTGAAACAAATTGTTCCTAGAACGGCGAATGGTGTTAATGCACCGGTGTAGATTTCTCAGTAGTATAAATGTTGTATGAGGCACGATAAGAAGATGATGTGGACTGCCAGTGTCCGGACAGAAGCGATAATTGCAGCTAACTGCCCCCGTGGCCGAACAGTTACCACACTGGACTGCCACGCAAGAGGTCCCGGGTTCGATTCCCGTGCCGGGTGAAATATTTGTATGGCCTACATTTATTTCTCTCGCGAGTTTGGGTGTAATTTGTGGTTGTATATATGAGTGTCCATGGCACCCGCGATACAGGGTTTCCGTGGTGCGGGGCTGAGCGCATTATTATTATTATTACCCGGTGAATAGTATCAAATAGGCAAGGATACGTGAGAGCTACCCTATCTGGAGGTCAATCCTTCGTATGACACGTAGCGTATTCTAAAGCGAATATAATATTGTGTTGCTTTCCCTAGGTATGACATGACATCTACATAAAATCCATGTCCTATTTATAATCCTTAACGCTTACTTTGCACTGCGGACAAAATTAGTATTCCGCTGAAATAGCAGTGATATCATTGCAGCAAGTACAACGGCACCGTGGGAAAAAGAGCAACCGGTCAATGCGCGGAATCGGTTTGCATTGTAGTATTAAGCTGCAACTGGAATCAAATTTTTGTATTGAGCAAATGTAAAAGGCAGCCAAGGGCGGCTTGTACTGCACGAGTACAGTCCTCAACATCGTCTACTTAAACCTATATTACCCAAATTACAATGTACAAAATGAAATGGCACATATAGAATAAACTGTTGTGTTAGAAACAAAAGAACCGAAGGACCATTGTCTCCTTAAGTAATTAAAATAATGGTGGCGTGTATAAATAGGGTATGTTTAGAACGTATTTTGTAGTGCGTCTAACTTTGACAGATATAACGGTGTTGGTGACTGTACGTAGCCGTTCACCCTCGGTGAGAGGTGAATGGGACCGGCGAACGCTTGCGCTAGGCCGACTACATTAGCGTGTGCCAACGCACCCGAACAATGAACCAGTCGAATGACGTCACGGTACAAAGCAAATATACCATCCTAAACATTCACGAGTCATCGACTCGTTTGCGGTAAGATTCCCATTGAAACGTTGCTCCTAAAGAGATTGGTTTACTTAAATCTGCTCACGCTGAATAATTCCACCGCTTCGTCATTCAAATGTGGTTGCCATCGAGTCTCTATACAGCAATGTTTTGAAAAGCGAGAGACGATATTTCACGAGCTTCAAAGTAAATACATTAGCATACAGTCCGACCAATGAGTTTACTATTGCTATATATATATATATATATATATATATGCAAACTGAATGCCTACACTAAATTCATAAATGTTATTTTAACAGGTACACGAACTTTTTCGAATTCAACATAGTAATTAAATACAAATTTGAACAAAGAAAATGTAAGGTTCAAAAAAATTGCATTAAGTAAATACATAATATAAATAACGTAAATTATACATTTCTCCATAGTATCATTACTTGAAGGAGAATCGTAGAAGTACTTCTTGCTATTAGGAAATTCACAAAACAATTAAACAGAAGCACCTCCAAGAGGGTAGCGGACGCCAAGTACACGAGTTAGGAACTGAGCTCATGTCGCAGTTCAAACGGGTAACTTCTTTTACTTAGGCTTCGACTTTCCTAAGACTTCTTACTTCGAGATACAAGTTTCAGTTGACTGTATCTAGGGGATAGCTTTAAAGATCGATGGTAGTTAAATAAATCAAAATAAGAAAAAAATGAATATTTTACTGTAAGATTGACTTGAACTCTACAATTTTTAATTATTAAAAATTAACAGATTGTGTAATTTACTAGTCATCGTTTGTTAGTTAGTTTTACATAGTTAATACGTATGTATTAAATACACGGTCAAGGTTCATTGATTGGTAAGGTTTATTTCGTTAAACAAATAATGTCGTTTGACAAAAAAATTAATACGTTTATAGCATTGTATCGAACGAGTGGCCGACGAGGTAGGATTAATTGTTAATTGGATTACAGCACATACATTTATTATTTAACAGAATTTAAAACGCGATGCCAAACAGAGCTTAATTGGAGAAATGCGAGTTTCGCAAATGAGGTAACTTATTCGTTAGTTAAAAAATTCAGCGAACGAACATCCGACTTAACAAACCAGTGACTTTTATAAATTTTGATTGCCTTAACTATTTAGCGATTTTATATTATGCAAAAAGGCATCTAAAATGCGAAATGAACTTCGTCTGGAAACATGGCCATATATTGGTTAGTCCTTATTTTGACCTTGCGTGCTGCATATTTTTTTAATATATCCAGCCAAATGAAAACGTTTTCCCTTGGGCTAATTCCGAGAGCAATCTTCGAGTTCTGATTGCAGTGCCTCCATTTTGAATTTGTTTATTTTTGGTGCAGATGTTAAGGCGTGTAGGTGAAGCGATCGGTTGCAGTCTCGCTCGGTGCATTTCTCGGCACGTAGAAAGTAACGGGTCGAGTCCCAGGGTCGTCTTGCGACAGACTTTTCGGACTTTTACACATCCACATATACTTGTAAGGCACACAATACGTGACATTTTTGAGCATTGTCGCGTTGACATTTTTTGACACAGATAACTCGATTTTGGGTCAGGTTCTACATATACGCGAGTAAGTTATGATTGAAGTTGAACTAATTAAATAATTTAGATTGATGACACGTTTCGGGAACTTGGCAAAACTTACAAACTTAAGCGACTTAAAGGATTTTGTCGAAGATAAGATTTATGTGTTGCCAATATACAGCTCTAGTTAAACCCTTTATCACGCTCGAGAGACTAACTCACAAAAGTTTGTCAAAATTGATAGTCAAAGTTCGTAATCTCTTTTGCGAGTAGATAAGCTTCGTGGGTAAGGCGTGCTTATCGCATCACTAATATTTAATATTTATTCTTATATGGGATCCTTAACCCGGTGTAGATAAGACACTCGTATGTGTAATTCAATATTAGCCAGAGCACTTTAGAGAGGCTAGCAAAATCCGACTTCGCAAAAAACCGGCACGAGGTTACACTTAAGTTAATCAAATTCAGTCAAGACTACGAGTTCCCTCAAGAACGAAGAGTTTGCTGAGAATCTTTAAATATTTATTTGCATTAATTTATCACTACTCATAGTTTTTAATAACAAAGACTGAAGAGGAGAAGGTATTTCTATCGCGAGTATAAATATTGACGATAATGATATAACACGCATTTCCACAGTCACTGATTATGTCATATCAGTAACAAACTTGTACAAACATAATGTATATAAACATTAGTGTTTATTGAAATAAATAATTCAGTGTTTCTGATTAACAGTAAATTTTCTCAGCACAGTTTATTCGGTTAGCCTTGATTAGCAATAATTTTCTACTCGGTTTAGTTTTCTTGTTCGCAGGCCTCGACACCGCGGCGATGCACTGTCTTTGGTTTAAATAACAATTAAATAATTGCTAGGGCGTGTCGCGGCGACCTTGTGTCGGTTGCAGCGTTGCAACAGGCCCTCGTGTCAAGGAAAAACCTACTTTGCTGTTTCCCTGGCACCGAATACTCACAACGAACGAATGAGCGAACTTTACACTTTGATCTGATAATGAGGCTTTTGGGCCATTGATAACATATGTCTGTTCTTTTGCATACAGTGTCAACGGAACGGACTTAAAAAATGTGAAATGCTTTTTATGAGATTCCAGTAAATGAGATGTGGATAAAAGATTTCCATAATTTAGCTAGAGGTTGAGAGAGTCGTCCGCACGAGTCACAGCACTGTTAATTTAGGATTCTTTACGACTGTCAATTCGTTCTATTTTCCCATTTTTGCCTA